GAGGCTGGCGACACTCAGACCGCCCCTGACGAGCCTACGGCTCAACAAGAGTGGGAGTTGGTGAGTGGGGCAGATGCTGCTGTAAAGCAGGTCGCAATTGCGCAGGTGCAAGACGCTATGGAACAGGTGAGAGAAGCCAGCGCTGCATTGCATGAATTAATGATGGGAACAGATCCCTCAGTGCAGGCATGCATTGCCGACAATGTGAATGCCCTCAATAATTTTTGCAGGTCTATGGACAGGCTCATCGGACAGAAAGCTTCCGACTAATTTGTAATTTGACTGCTGCAGCGCGACCTCGGCATAGAAAAAGCACGGTTCTGTCGTCGGCTTCATTAGTAAGACTTAATTTTTTTAGCCTGCCGGCGGTTGAAGCCCCTGCTGGAGGGCCTGCCTCAATTTATTGTATAATAAGACGAACCCTTCTCTGAATCGCCACAGAAGCCACAAACTTATTAACTTGAAAAACTCAGAGTCAAAGCAGCAAACTGCTTCTGCTGGGCTAGCCAGTCTGAACCAACCACAGAGCAACCAGGCAACGTAATAAAGCTACAACATCAGTGGCAACAAACCCTGACAGAGCACAACAGTGCAACCATGCAACAACACAACGGTCAGACCATGCGCCGCGTGACAAAGTTGAGCTCAGCCGGCCAGTCTGAGTCATTAATAAACACTAAGCTGCGCAACCAGGCACTTGCCAGGGTATAAATTAAATGTCCTGATGTTAGTTCAATCAATCCAATCCCCAGGAAAAAAACAAAACCGCGCAACCGCGCAACGACAAAACATCACCCAGGGTACATACAACGTGTCTTGCCCAAGCGAACAGGTGAACGGCACGGAAACCACTGGCAGTTGAACGGTGCGCAGGTAGGACTGGGGGGAACTGCAAGCTTGCCGGGCCAGCCACAAGGGCAGGCAAATCCGACCAAACCACGAAACGCAAGGCGCCTTTACTTTTCATGCCCGGCCCTTGCTGGCCTTCACAGGCAAACCCGTTGCTTGAACCCCTGCTACTTCCAAATCGAAGTTTTCGCAGCGGCGCTTTTTGACCAGTTGCGGGCTTCAAGGATGCGCGTAGGGCTGCGCCGGCCGTCTCTTTGCAGTTTTTGCGTTTCCGCTGATTCTGGTTCATTTTGGGTTTGTGTGTCGCGCGCGCCGGACGGAGGGACGTGACGGCGGATGACAGCGATGTAGGACGGTGTTGGCGGGGTGGGGCGGCGGCGGTGTGTTGTAGTCGGCGGTGGCGGTGGTGCGGGCGCGATCTGGTGGTTGGCCGTGGGGGGGTCTGGCGCTGGTGATCCGCGCTTTGGGGGGCGTGTGACGCAAGACATTCGGCGCAGACTTGCGAGAGGGCCTTGCTCGCGACAGCTTCCGGGTCGGGCAGCTCGCGTGACGAGGGTCGCAGTCAGGTTTCGTCGCGGCGCCGCTGCGAAGAGGGGCTGAGCCGTTGTGGCGGGGGGGGGCAGTGTCAGCCGGAAGCTTTTGCAAAGACTCGTTCGTTGTGGGGGGGCGCTGCCGTGGTGTTTGTCGCAGGTTGTGGGGCTGTGGGCCGGCCCGTCACAAAGGGGAGGTGGTTCAACTTCAAACAGGTACTGCCAGCGCACGGCGTGACGCAGTCGCGGTCGCGTGACATCACTCAAAGTCAATCAATATATGAATGACAAGTACAAATCAAACATGAACGGCTCCAATTTTCATCAGAAAGCGTTCAAAGATTGAAAATATACTTTAGACAAACCCCAAACCTCAAGCAAAACTGCAAAATATAGAGAGGGAACAAAACAGCTGGAGGCTGCGCCACCCGTCGCTGCAGTCCAATAAAAATCACAAGGCAATCGCCACATCAAACAGTGAGCGACGGTGCCAATGGAACTGAAACCCATTGTGTCTTTTCGCACACGCTAGCGAAGGCGTTGAAGCACGTTTCTGGTTGATGTCCTCGCCTTATCGTTCTGCTCCTCGTCCTGTTTCTCGTCCTCATCCTTGTTCTGCTCCTTGTCCTGTTCCTCGCCCTCCTCCTGCTTCTGCTCCTCATTGTGTTCCTTGTCTCCGGTTCCTGTAAAAACTATGTAACACAAAGCTCCCAAGCATGTTGCCCTTTGACTTTTGTTGCGCCCTGCTCCTCCCCAATAGGAAATTTTAAAGGTTGCCCGCTGAGGGACTAAGTACATACAACCCACGCTAAACCAAACATAACCATACCGACCAGAACAACCATGACTACAACGACAACGAAAAGTAGAATTACAACAACAGCCACCACAACAACAACAGCAACAAAGAATAAGAACGCCAATCACGATAATTCAAAAATACAAACCTTTTTCTACCGATCGCCTAACTGATAGAAACGTGCAGACAAGAACTTCCTAACAATCATCAGTCCTCGGGTTTCACACCACCGCGCCCAACCAATCACCACAGCCCAGAAAGAACGAACTAACTCCAAGACAAGAGCACCCAACCAAACGAATGGCCCAGGCATCAAGAATCAACTTTACATACCGAATGAAGCACAGAAAACAAATCACCCAAATAGAACGAAGGTTAACACCGAAGAACCTCCAACGACACATCCCAATTCGGTATCAGTGCCTTTCACATTTGCGTATCAGGCAACGTGACACATGACCGAATTCTGCGCGATGCGAAAATCCGCGCGCGGCTGTTTGACAAGCGTCGCTATTGTGTGTGGTAATGGTTCCATCTTCATAGAGTGTGCAAGAAAACTTTTTAATTTATATCTGCATCTTCTGTTCTTTTGTTCTAAGCGCTCTTCTATCCCTCGGGAAGCTTCAAGCATGAAACAACAATTCCATGCTGCTTTGTCCTTTTTCGTGCTTTCCCTCATTTTGCGCGGCCTCACGTTTCCCTTGATAGAAAGATTTGCAATAGCGTCCCACGGAAGGCGAACCCTTGGCATCAGTTATGGTGGGAGCGCGAAGGTCATAGATTCGAGGAATGACTGTTGCAGCCGATATTCTGCTTCGCAGCCGGCGTCGGAAACACCGAGATAAGTGCGTTCCAATTGAAAGATACTTGAAAATATACACAGATAGATAAACAAATAATGATAAATAGGTAGCTAGATAGACATATATGTGTCTATCTTTCATCTTCATAGCTATCAAAAAGAACATGTGTTTTGTAGCTTTTTCAGCTGGTCGCAGCTCCTCAACGGGCGGCCGGAACTGATCAAGCAAGCTTTGTCAACAACTGTCCAGAGCTTTCGCAAGCAATCGCTTCTAGGTTGGAGGCTGTCCTTAGCGCGACCTGCGCAAGTTGTGCACAAGCATGTGCAGACCCTTCCCGGCACGTGCTTCCAGTTATTGCCACGGCTATACTACACAACCGACGTCTGTTGATGCGTCAACAATTCTGGCCAAGATCCGGCTGCGACGATGTTCACTGCTCATCGAACATCTTCCCCGGCTCATCCGGACGTGTCCCTGTCCTGCACGGCACAGTGATTTGCCGGTTGAAAAGTATGATTGGCTCACATTGCACCTCACCTCGTCGCTAACCCGGAACGTTGCGTTCGCTTTCGCCGCAACGAGCTGCTGGGCGGCTTTTAAGGACAGGCGCTGGGGCTCCGGGTTCAGGCTCGCGACAAGCGTCGCTATTGCATCCAACACAACAATGAGTGTTTTGTTCCAGCCTCTTGCAAGTGCAAGAACCATGCGAGATTTGCGTCCGGGTGCGTCGCGGGATCTGTCCAGATGCTTGCGGGCGATGTATTTAATATTGGTGCTTTGTAGTTGCTGTTGTTTGCTTTTTTTCAAGATTCACAGAGTTAGCCTGGGTCCGGCGATGTTGATTTGAATGGTTTGAATCCCAACGAACCATTGTTTCACCTACCAGGACCCGACTTCACAGGTCACCTGCGACGTTTTGTCAGTCTCATTAAGTCTTTCAGCCCCCAGAGCTAGGAGACCTGTTGGAGGGCGCGTAGCACCACCGATCATCCTGTTCTTTTAATGGTCAAAAGTCCAAACTGCAGGTGAACCAGGACCTTCCAATATTGTATACCCAAAACGACGGGTATGTTTCGGAAACGCCGCCGTCGAGCGAGTCAGAGGACGAAGACTGCACAGAGGCAAAAGCAAAAAAAAAGAGAGCAAATCCAAACAGCAAAAAAAAGAAAATGAAAAAGCAAAAGCAAAAACGCAAATCCAAAATGAAAAAGCAAAAGATAAGAAAACAAAGCAAATCCAAAGAGCAAAAGCAATTTTCCGTGCGTTTTTCAATGTTTTTTCTTTACCACATTTTGTTCGCTTTTGTCCACTGTTTTTTCGCTTTTGTGATTGCCCGCATTGTTTCCGCGTTTTTTCGCATGGTTTTCGCTTTTTGCTCTTTCATTTGTTTTTTCGCGATTTTTTGTTTCGCTGTTTGCTTGTTCACTTGCTGTTTTTTGCTTTTTGGATTTGCTCTTGTTTTTTCCTTTTGCTTTTTCATTTGTTTTTTGCTTTTTGTATTATTGTTTTTGCATTTTTTCCTTTGTTTTTTTTGCTTTTTGGATTCGTCTTTTTTGCTTTTGCTTTTTGTAGTTGCTTTGTGTTTCGCTTTTTTGCTTTTCTTATTACATTATTTGGAAAAATAGCCTAAGTGGTGTTCTTAACATTCAATCAAGGCATGATTGTTGGAACGACCCGGGCAGAGCGCATCCTCATCGATCCACAGATCCACAGATCCACCCGAAAAACCCTGCAGTACGTTTTCGGTGTACACTGAGATCTGTAGGTGGTCTGAGGGTCGGGGGTCGGGGTGTAGGTGGTCTAGGCTACGATCTGCATCCCTAGAGGCCCTAGCGTCAGTCTTTCGACCCTCCCTCCGAGGATGTGCCCCACAGGAACACTTCACCCTGCATCACCCTGCCACGTACCAGCACCGAAACCAACAGATCTCCGAAAATGGAGGGTTGGCAAAGGCCCTATATAACAGGTTTCAATGGGTGACCTGGCAGTCGGTGCTGGTATTGAATGCCGTCCATCGGCATGGCGTTGATCTTGCCTTGCGCCTCCCGCGTGGTCCGTAGGGCTTCCACTTCCTCCTGCAGGTGCTTCCGTGGTCGGGTCGGGGGCACCGACGACCGAACGCCCCGGTTCGGAAGGCCCAAAAGTGCCCCAAATCGAAAACGTGCCGTCACAGATCACATCCTCGAGCCCATTCAGCCCCCAGTGGCCCTCAAATTTACCATGAAAAATAGAGGTTTTCACACAAAGAAACCCTATTTGTTGCCAGGGAAAACCAGTTTTTTCCGGGCCATGTGCCCCTCAAAAGCCACCCAACTCCATGTGACTGTTCAAAGAAAGCTCGAACGGAGGACGGACTTGGCGTGCCCATGATCATACCCCAACGATCCGAGTTCGGACCCTCCAAAGACCGGACCCTTGTTCTCCAGGGTCCGGATCCTATTCACCCTAAGAATCCGAGTCCGGACTCTCCATGGCAGGGGTCGGACCGAAACGGGTCCGGGCCCGGCTTCCCAAGCCCCATCTGTTTGAGGGGTCCGGAGTCGCCCACCGGGCAGGCTCACTGATTTTGGGTGACGGAGTCGCTCACCGGGCCGAAGCAATTTCCCTCCAACGGGACGAATTAAATGGGAAGCATCCTGCCCGCCCGGTGTTCACCGCTGCACTCCATCTGCACTCCATCTCGCTACGTCGAAGTGCCAGCGCGCAGCACTCTTTGGTGGCTGCCGGGAGCCATGTATCATGCGTACATCATGCGCGCGCGCCAACCTGTGCCAATAGGTGGTTGGAGGATGTTGGAGGCACCGGGGACCATCCCGGCGCCAAGGAGTACGGGAAGAGGCACCGTGCGGTGCTTCAGAAGTCGTATCAACCAGTACGACGGCGTTTGGCCAACAATCTGCAGTTTGCGAAGGCATCAGCCCCGAGGTGGCTGACTTTCTTGGAAATGTTCACTCTTGACAACGAGCTGCAGTTTGCAAAGGCTTCATCCCCAATTTCGGTCACAGAGCCAGGGATGGTTACACTTTTCAAAGAGCTGCAGTTTGCAAAGGCTCCATCCCCAATGCAGATCACTGAGTTGGGGATGGTCAAACTTTCCAACGAGCTACAGTCTGCAAAGGCACACATCCCAATGCGGGTCACAGAGTTGGGGACGGTCACTCTTGCCAAAGAGCTGCAGCCACGGAAAGTATCATCTCCCAGATCCGTCACGGAGTTGGAGATGGTCACGCTGGACAAAGAGCTGCAGTTTGCAAAGGCCTGATTCTCAATACAAGTCACTGAGTTGGGAATGGTCACACTTGCCAACGAGCTACAGTCTGCAAAGGCAGCAATGCCAACGTGGATCACTGAGTTGGGGATGGTCACAGTTGCCAAAGAGCTGCAGCCACGGAAGGAATTATGTCCGATATCTGTCACGGAGTCAGGAACGGTCACACTTGCCAATGAGATACAACCTTTAAAGGCAGCAATGCCGATGTCAGTCACTGAGTTGGGAATGGTCACACTTGCCAACGAGCTGCAATCTGCAAAGGCAGCGATGCCAATTTGGATCACTGAGTCAGGGAGGGTCACACTTGGTAAAGAGCTGCATTCAGCAAAGGCTCTGTACTTAATGGCAGTCACTGACTTGGGGATGACCAACTTGGCCAACATGTTGCAGCCGTCAAAGGCGCCTGGATCAATGGCTTTGACATCGTTTGGGATTTCCAGCACCATGGGAGACTCCAAGTCAATCGCACGGCCAAAGCGAGGAAAGTCACTAGCGTTGGAGCACCTCAGGGCATTCTTTTTCAAAATTACCGTGGCTTTTGACTCCGGAGAAAAACCCGCATCTGCCAGTGTCTCGTCCATCCCTAGCAACTGGTCCTTGCCGACCACGACCTCTATCCGGGTGGTTCTACGAGTGAACTCATCCTTCCAAACCTGGCGTTCTTTGATCTGCTGCTTCAGTTCCCGGCCAGTCATCTCTGGGAGTACTCTCAGAGCAAAAGTTTCTCCATTGAGTTGCATGAAAGAAATCTCCATTGCCATAGGCTTTTTTCTGTGATCACACTAAAGAAGGACTTGAACAGAATCCCCACTCTCAATGGATGTTCAAAGGAACAAGCAGGGATTGGATCATGGCCGTACCGAACAACATCAAGCGTCTTCTAAAAGATCTGAATGGATCATCACAGGCTGTCTAGACTGACAGGGATAGTAATATGTTGTTGTCATCTGTCACATCTGATGATCATTAAGTATAATATATTATTATGGTATACCCAGGGAGCTAAACACTATAAAAAGAATGGCAATGGTCTGACTAGGGGACCTGAGTTCGGGAATTTCCTTTAATTCACTAAGGGAAAGCGGGGATAGCATAGTCTTTGGACAAACTGGACTTCTAAGGTTTTTTGTTCCGATTTCCTGAGAAACCGCCGAACGCCGCCGCTCGAGCAAAAACAATGAATGCCACCTTCGAGAAACCCACCCTGATCCCTGATCGCGCCACTTGGTGAATCCCCATGTTACTGTCCTACCCCCGGTTTTTCAACCAGGAAGTCTGCTGGCATCTTTTTTGAAACAACAAACAACAACAGCAACAACCACCTTCCAAAACACGTCACAGCTTCTGCGTGCCCTTCCCCCCACTCTCTCCCATGTTTGCCACTCAAACAGCACCCTTCCCCCCACTCATGTCACGAAAGGTTCAATGGAAGTTTCGGGAAGCGTCGCCCCCCGAAATTTCAGCAGGTATCCAGCCACCCAATCCGAATCATGAACTCTATACCAGGACCTTCCAAGAGCTGTCTATATAAATAGCCTCTTAGTGGTTAAGGGGTGTCCAGAAACCACCTGTTGGAAGGTGCTGGTATAGATCTATAGGCTGCGCTATAGGCTTTTCAGGGGGTCCGAACCTTGAAAGATTGGATGCTCATGGATGCTCCAAGGATACGAAACACTCGCCTCTCCCTTCGCACCAAAACCTGAAATCCGTAAAATCGTAAAATCTGTAATAATACAACATGCAAAGTAAACGCCTCCAAAAGCGCATTGCGTGGAATCGGCTCCTCCAAGAGCTCGTTCCGAAAGGCCTTGGCGTCGCTCTGGGCCCTGGCAGCGTCCAACTCCTGCCGCGCCTGGGCGATTCCTCTCCGCAGGCGTTGCTCCTGCGAGCGCCGGAGCCGCGACGCACTGGACGCGAGTGCGCACGAACGCAGGTCGGACGGGGGCGCCAGCCTTAGCGGGCACCGCGACGAACGGAGCGGTCGGACACGGCTGTTGGACATGCCAAGAGAGGTCCAGTGACCGACCAAAGGACCCGAGCTACCTGGGGTACCCAACTGGGATAGTCACGGGTCACTCAACCTGAGTTGGTGTGTTGGACCCTGCTTCGCTCGAGCTTTGGAGCTTCACACCCGTCATCTGAGGGTCCTGAAGCGACGGAGAAGCGACCAGGTCATCGAAACCAGGACCGGAATGCGAACGACTGAGACGATGGGGCATATCGAATAAGTCGGAATTGTGATATGAGGTGATGTATACGGGGTGTCCAGAAGCCACGTTCCAAAAGCGAGCTGAGATACCTGAAGATGAAAAGGAGCTGGAGGCACCTTGAGGGTTCATTGATCCTGGACATCAGGGCACCTCGTGTCGACGAACTCCGTCCGACACCGTCCATGAACAACTCTCCAAACGTTTGGACTGCAGCCCACCTTCCCCTTGATCCCCATCCCATCTTTCCACCCCACTCAGATGCTATACTTTCAATACGCGCCGACTGGTCCCTCAAAACCAAGGGGATTGGTGAGAACCCCCCCAGACCGTCGACCCAACGATTCGGTTCCGAGCTCGATCGGGCCGCGAAGGTGTCCCCACCTCCAGCGCCACCTGCTGCCGCGCGAAGCCCTCGACGGCTTGAGGCCCGCGGGGCACTCCGCGTGCGCGGGCTCCCACTGCACTCTGGTCCAGCTCCTGAGGGGTAGGCTCTGTGTGGCCAGGCTGTGACTGCCTACCAAGAGGGTCCGGAACCCACTAATCGGGATCAATCGGGTGAATCTGCAGCTATTTGCAGCTATCTATGATATAGACGTGCCCTAAGGATCCGTGGACCCTCCTTAGAAGGGATCGAACCCTCTATAACAAGGGTTTGTACCCTCATGTACCCTCAAAACCCTTGTTTTTGAGGGTGCGGATCCTTAGGGTGTTCCAATTCTCCACACTTCTTCCAAGAATTATATACGTCTTTCGTGGAAGCTCCACATGTGGGAACAAACCGGGTACCAAAAGCGCTCATGTCTCCGTCCGATTCCGGTGTCACCGTTGCCTCCAACCTAGTAGAGATGGCCTCCAACCTATGGCAGGAGTCTTTTTTGGGCCTGAGCCCGTTCCGGGTTTGGGCACCGTGTGGGCCCAAAACACCACCTCCCCACCCCACTCGCCTCGCGCAGCTGCTCCACCGCCCTCCCTTGCGCCAGCAGCTCCGCGGCGTACGCCGCCGCCTCCGCCGCGGCCGAGGCCTCCTGCGCCAGAGCCTCCGCCAGCTCGGTGGCCGGGCCGCGCGCGCCGGCGGCTTGGAGCTGCAGCCTGAGGGGAACTAGTAGGTTGGAGGCCAGAGTGAACATGGTCAGCTTTTTGCTGCATGGTGTAAGATTTGGGGAGTGGTCAGGTTGGAGAACTTCTATGGGAGAAGGGCTTGTGTCGCAGCAGAGTAACTAGTAGAGGCAGCAACTGGAAATTATAGCCACGTGCGGGGTGCTTTACACGAATGAATAAAGCACTACCCTCAGAATCCGGACCCTCAAACAGACAGGGTTTGGGAACCGGGCCTGTTTTCCCCCTGCCTTTCAGTGTCCCCGGCACGGACTCGGATTCTTAGGGTATATATACCCAGACGCGACCCGGGACCCGAACCGATGGAGGGGTCTGGACCTTCTCACCAATCCCGGTTTGCTTCGGGACCCAGTCGGGCTGTGAACTCACGAACACGGAGCATCCATCTGGGATATTTTTGATGTGTCGGATTCGGAGATCAGATCAGTCTCCGACTCCATACGTATGATGGAGTCCCATCTGGCAGGTCCCATCCTCGGCAGGTCCCGTCCTCGGTCTCATCTCGCCCAAGGAAGTCGGTGGTCTTTTCCCTCCAAGTTCCAAGACGATGTCTGACTTACAAACGGTGACCCGACGTGACTCGGAATGTGCCAGGATAGGATCCGGACCCTCCAAAACATGCCCAAAAACGACAGGGTTTGCTTCAGATTCAAAAAAAACACAAAAAAATAACCTTGTGAACAGCGAGGCTTTGGTTCGGTTTCGACTCCCTTGTTGCAGGTGTTTGGATGGCTTCGAGTTCCCACCGGTAACTCCGGATCCGTCCAGGCGTCAGCTGCTGCACCAGGGTCTGATTCCCTTCACGCGCCGCATGGATCTCATGCTGCAGTTGCTGCTGCGACTCTTGGAAGATCAGCTCCTGAAACGACGAACGACGTCGCGCGGCCCAAAGGAGCGGACCGGGAGACCTGTCTGGGATGTAGGGATGCAGGGAGATCTTCGGCATATGGAGCGGTGAGCTGTTTAGCTTTAGACTCTTCAAGACTACAAAACGATCGTTCGATCCGAGCCGTTCGCGGAGCTTCAGAGAGGGGGCTTAAGCATGACCTGAACTAGGGCCCTTTCGCTACCTGGGGTACCCAACTGGGATAGTCTAGTTCGGGTCATTCAACCTGTGTTGGGAGCTGGGTGCGAAGCAAGCGACAAAAGAGCTGGATCAGCTCGGATCGTCCGCAAAATGTCTGCCGAGCGCCAAGCTGGTAGGTGTCAGAAATAGTGCATATATAGTCATATATAGTTGGAAGATCCAGGTATACTGTTGAAGGATGAAATCCTATAGCTGCATATAGAATACATGAAGCCATGTTTTTGTCGATGTACTGCTGGCAAACTTCGTGGCGCAAGAGTTTGCCTCGTGCCAGGAAGGACCGGAAACCGGACATCGTAAACCTCCTGAGAGGTCTTACAGTGACTAAGCCCTAAGGCTCCAACCATATCCTCAGAAGGTGGTTAGACCCCCCAAACCCACCCCAACCATCTTCTCAGGAGGTGGTTGGAGCCCTAGGGAAGGTAAACCCGAAGATCTACCTGGAGTCGATCCCTTCGTACCTCGGAACGTATATACAGTCGTACGGTCGAGTCAGGTCCCATTTTAGGTACTGGGTCAGTCGGGTTCAGGTACCGGGAAACCAAAAAGGGGGAAACCAGTGGTTGCTCCCCTGGTTCTTCCGTGGTTGTGCCGATCTCCCGTGCGGCCTGGTCACCAGTTTTCCGGCCTGGTTTGAGACCGACTCCAAAACGCAACTGAAGAAGGTGGCCAATACGGTTTCCTTGAGATATCTTCCAGGACCGACACCGTTCGAGGTGTCTAGACAATAGCCTCTTAGTGGTGAGTCGGGGTGTCCAGAAACCACCGGACGAACGGAAGGTGCTGGTTGACCCAGACGCTCCTGGACCCTGGCAGGGGTCGGACCCTGATATGGAGGGGTCGGACCCTCAAATCCCTATGGTTTTGAGGGACCCAAGGGCTGTTTGGAGCGTCTGGGGAGATCAAT